AAGAAATGAAACTTTTCTCTGCTGATGTTACGCAACAGCAAAACGTTTCCCAGTAAGTCTTCTATGGTTATGAAGAAATGAAACTTTGAATCACTTTAATAACATTTCATGAATATCCATCCCATTTTCAGCTTTAATCTGAGATCTTGAGATGATTAGAGTTAATCTGTCCAGGTTATTAATCTGCTGCTGAGCCTCTGAGTTCAGCTTAAAGTGAAAAATCTCCATCGTTCCTGTTAAACTTCAGCTCTTCTGTTATTCTGACCATAGGGTCAAAGGTCAACATTCATTCAGTCACATCAGCAGCAGCCAGGAGACCAACATCATGTTGATCAGTTAAAGTTCTGAGACTTTGACCCGGTTTGAGGATCTGGAACAAACCCAATGAGACCAAATGTTTTATAACTGATAGATGGATGGATGGATAGATTATATTTATTGTCATTCAACAGGATTCAACAAAATTTCCATTGCAACTCCCATGCAAAAAGTCAAATATATACAATATTAAATAAACAAACACACAATAATAATAATAATAATAATATACTAAAATTAACTAAAGGCACTCAACCACACCAAAGAAGAAGCAGCAGGTCCAATTATGGTAAAGTGCAGATGATGTGACAGTGCAAGTGCAGAACAATATGGCTGTGTGGGGGGTGGGGGAGTATGTGAGGTTATGATATGTGTGGGAGGGGGCAGCAGGGGGCAGCAGGGAGTAATGGCTCTGACGGCTGTGGGGAAGAAACTGTTTCTCAGTCTGTTTGTTGTAGTCCGTATATTCCTGAACCGCTTGCCTGATGGCAGCGGCACAAACAGTCTGTGGCCCGGGTGGCTGGAATCCATGGCTATGGATCCAGCTCTCTTCTTGACCCGGCCTATGTAAATAGAGTCCAGGTCCGGGAGGGGGCATCACAATGCCTTGTGCTGTTCTCACCACCCGTGTCAGTTGTTTCCTCCAGTGCTGTGCAGCCACCATACCACACAGTCACGTTGAGGCAGAGGACGCTCTCGATCGTCGCCCTGTAAAAGTTCACGAGCAGCCGTGAAGAAAGTCCAGCCCGTCTCAGTTTCCTGAGGAAGAAGAGCCTTTGTTGTGCTTTCTTCACCAGGTGGGAGGTGTTGGTATTCCAGGAGAGGTCAGACGTGATGTGGAGGCCCAGGAACTTGATGTTGTCCACACGCTCCACCTCTTCTCCATCTATGAGAAGGGGAGTGTGACCCGTCCTCCTGGACCTTCTGTAGTCCACAATGACCTCCTTGGTCTTCCCTGTGTTCAGCACCAAGTTGGCTGAACACCACTGAGTGAGCTGCTGAATCTCCTCTCTGTAGGGGGTCTCGTTGTTGTCTGAAATGAGACCCACTACTGTTGTGAACTTCACAACTGTGTTGGTGGGGTGGATGGCAACGCAGTCGTGTGTGAACAGGGTGAAGAGAGCTGGGCTGAGCACACAGCCCTGCGGTGTGCCTGTGTTGAGGACCAGTGGGGACGATGTTGAGCCACCTATTCTCACCACCTGAGGCCTGTTGGTGAGGAAGTCTCTGATCCAGTGGCACAGTGAAGCAGGCAGCCCACCTTGAGTAGCTTCAGCACCAGCTTGTCTGGGATGACGGTGTTAAATGCTGAGCTGAAGTCTACAAATAGCATCCTGACGTAGGTGTTGGGATGCTGCAGATGGGTCAGGGCTGTGTGCAGAGTGATGGAGACAGCATCCTCTGTTGACCGGTTCGCTCTGTAGGCGAACTGGAGGCTGTCCAGGTCTGCAGGGATGAAGTGTCTGATGTATCAGAAGAATCCTCTCAAAGCACTTCATGATCACCGGGGTCAGAGCGATGGGCCGGTAATCGTTAAGGCTGGTGATGGTCTTCTTCGGTACAGGGATGATGGTGGAAGACTTGAGACACTCAGGAACCATGGTGAACTGCAGGGACAGATTGAAAATGTCCAGAAACACTCCTGCCAGCTGGTCGGCGCACGTTTTCAGCGTCTGGCCTGACACCTTGTCCGGTCCTGTAGCTTTGCGGGTGTTGATCCTCCTCAGGGAGGACGTCACCTGGTGCTGCTGCAGGACGAGAGGCTGGTACTGCTCTTCCAGTCGGGGTAGATGTACAGCTTCTCTGCTGCCCACCGTGTCAAAGCGGGCAAAGAAGCTGTTTAAGGTGTCAGGCAGGGTGGGGTCGCGGCTGGTCAGCTGAGTGCTGTGTTTGTAGTCTGTCATGGTCCTGATGCCTCTCCACATGCTACTGGGGTTGTTGTTGATGAAGTGTTCCTCAATCCGCTGTTTGTACTGGAGCTTGGCCTGCTTAATTCTTTTTTCAGTTCCGACCGGGTCCTGCTATAAGCCAACCTGTCTCCAGATCTGTAGGCAGCATCCGGGCTTTCAGCAGGGCCCGTACTGTGCTGTCCAGCCATGGTTTCTGGTTGGAAACACTTTTATGGTCTTAACAGGGAGGACAGCATCGGTGCAGAAAGTCTGTGTGCTCAAAGCACACAGACTGGAGTTGTCATCCAGCCAGGTCTCTGTGACAACAGTCACACAGCTGTCCATCCGGCGAGAGATAATTCGGAGTCGCACCTCGTCGATTTTGTTGACGAGGGACCTGGCGTTGGCGAGGAAGAGGCTGGGGAGGGCCGGTCTGTGAGGAACGGTCTGTGAGGGCCGGTCTGTGAGGGCCGGTCTGTGAGGGCCGGTCTGTGAGGGCCGGTCTGTGAGGGTTAGCTTGTAGCCTTGCACGCACGCCGGCTCTCTTGCCCCTCTTTTGTTTGCGCTGCCTCCTCCGTCGCCTTCGCAGCAGGGGGGGAATGATCATAGTTCCAGGTGTTCGAAGAAGCTCTGGAGGAATAAAGTCCAGCTTGGGGTGTGTGAAGTCCAAACTGTGCTCCTATGTTCCACAGTTCTGATCTGCTAGAAGTTGTCAAGGCTTCCAGTAGTGTGTTGAGCGAAGACATCAATAAAAACAGGCTAACAAAAACGAAAACACGGGAGCTCCGAGCCGCTGCGTCTACACGCGCCGCCATCTTGAAACAAAAACACTTTCTAAATTTCACAACAGAAACAGAATCTATTTATCATATCTCTTAATCTATTTATCATATCTCTTAATCTATTTATCATATCTCTTAATCTATTTATCACATCTCTTAATCTATTTATCACATCTCTTAATCTATTTATCACATCTCTTAATCTATTTATCACATCTCTTAATCTATTTATCACATCTCTTAATCTATTTATCACGTCACTTAATCTATTTATCATATCTCTTAATCTATTAATCACATCTCTTAATCTATTTATCACGTCACTTAATCTATTTATCACATCTCTTAATCTATTTATCACATCTCTTAATCTATTTATCATATCTCTTAATCTATTTATCATATCTCTTAATCTATTTATCACATCTCTTAATCTATTTATCACATCTCTTAATCTATTTATCACATCTCTTAATCTATTTATCACATCTCTTAATCTATTTATCACATCTCTTAATCTATTTATCACATCTCTTAATCTATTTATCACATCTCTTAATCTATTTATCATATCTCTTAATCTATTTATCATATCTCTTAATCTATTTATCACATCTCTTAATCTATTTATCATATCTCTTAATCTATTTATCACATCTCTTAATCTATTTATCACATCTCTTAATCTATTTATCACATCTCTTAATCTATTTATCACATCTCTTAATCTATTTATCACATCTCTTAATCTATTTATCATATCTCTTAATCTATTTATCACATCTCTTAATCTATTTATCACATCTCTTAATCTATTTATCACATCTCTTAATCTATTTATCACATCTCTTAATCTATTTATCATCTCTTAATCTATTTATCATATCTCTTAATCTATTTATCACATCTCTTAATCTATTTATCACATCTCTTAATCTATTTATCACATCTCTTAATCTATTTATCACATCTCTTAATCTATTTATCATATCTCTTAATCTATTTATCACATCTCTTAATTATTTATCACATCTCTTAATCTTTTTATCTCTTATCTATCATATCTCTTAATCTATTTATCATATCTCTTAATCTATTTATCACATCTCTTAATCTATTTATCATATCTCTTAATCTATTTATCATATCTCTTAATCTATTTATCATATCTCTTAATCTATTTATCACATCTCTTAATCTATTTATCATATCTCTTAATCTATTTATCATATCTCTTAATCTATTTATCACATCTCTTAATCTATTTATCATATCTCTTCCATCAGGCGGGGTTAGGGTTAACACAGAGCAATCAGCGCCCCCTGCTGGACAAACAACAGGATTAAGGATCTGGTCACAAATTTTACTCATTAAAAAACATTTCAAAGATCAGAAACATGAGAAATTCTGACCATGGAAACATCAGCAGATAAAAGATTAAATGCAACATGTCCAAAAACTGATTTTATAGTTCATTCTGTAACCATGGATTTTATTTTATTTAATTTAATTTGCAGGATTTTGTCTTTCAGTTTTAAACCATCAGCTTCAGAGGGAAAGTTCTGAACATGAAGACTTTCAACAATAAGAACAGTTTTAATATCTGGACTGTAAATGTGTCAGATTGACCCCCAACTCTGGAGGTCAAACTGTTAATCATGGTGGCCTGAGGAACAGCGCCCCCCTGCTGGGGAAAAACATTCAGCTCCCAAGGAAAGTTGGTTTTATAAAGTATTTCTACATATTGACTCATATAAAGTTTTATTAAATAAAACAATGAAAGCTTCATTTCCCAGAGTAGTGATGATTTATTAGATTTTACTGTCTAATGAATAAAGTGACTGAAAACTTGAGGAATTAAAGCTGATCAGGTTAAATGTATTTAATCCATTCATGTCAGAAGGTTTAATCTGAACTCTGAGTGATTTTTCCTCCATCTTGTTTCAGTCAAAGTGTTTCCTGATTAAAAGGAAGAGGGAGGGTCCGACTGTGTGTTCTGACAGAACCGGTGAAAACAGTCAGATCTCTGAGAGCCGCCATGAAGGAAACATCCGTCAGGTTTCTGCTCCGTGAGTACAGAAAATGTGTTCTGATGTGTGTTCATGTGCTGCTGCTGGTTGACTGAGAGACACTGAGAGGACGAGGAGACGGGCTGCAGATTTATTCTCTAGATGAACATGGAGTCCAGACGTATATGAACCAGATTCAGATGCATTTAAATCAGTTTTAGTATAGAAACCAGTTTCATTCGTATTTAAACCAGTTTTAGACGTCCATCATCCATCCATCCATCATCCATCCATCCATCATCCATCATCCATCCATCCATCATCCATCCATCCATCATCCATCATCCATCATCCATCCATCATCCATCCATCATCCATCATCCATCCATCCATCATCCATCCATCCATCCATCCATCCATCATCCATCCATCCATCATCCATCCATCCATCATCCATCCATCCATCATCCATCATCCATCATCCATCCATCATCCATCCATCATCCATCATCCATCCATCCATCATCCATCATCCATCATCCATCCATCCATCATCCATCCATCCATCATCCATCCATCATCATCCATCCATCATCCATCCATCATCCATCCATCATCCATCCATCCATCCATCCATCCATCATCCATCCATCATCCATCCATCCATCATCCATCCATCATCCATCATCCATCCATCATCCATCCATCATCCATCATCCATCCATCATCCATCATCCATCCATCATCCATCATCCATCATCCATCCATCCATCCATCATCCATCATCCATCATCCATCCATCATCATCATCCATCCATCATCCATCCATCCATCCATCCATCATCATCCATCCATCCATCATCCATCCATCCATCCATCCATCCATCCATCCATCCATCCATCCATCCATCCATCATCCATCCATCCATCCATCCATCCATCCATCCATCCATCCATCCATCCATCCATCATCCATCCATCCATCCATCCATCCATCCATCCATCCATCCATCCATCCATCCATCCATCCATCATCCATCCATCCATCATCCATCATCCATCCATCCATCCATCATCCATCCATCCATCCATCCATCCATCCATCCATCCATCCATCCATCCATCCATCATCCATCCATCCATCCATCCATCCATCCATCCATCCATCCATCCATCCATCCATCCATCATCCATCCATCCATCCATCCATCCATCCATCCATCCATCCATCATCCATCCATCCATCCATCATCCATCATCCATCATCCATCCATCCATCCATCCATCCATCCATCCATCATCCATCCATCCATCATCCATCCATCCATCATCCATCCATCCATCCATCCATCCATCCATCCATCCATCCATCATCCATCCATCCATCCATCCATCCATCCATCCATCCATCCATCATCCATCCATCCATCCATCCATCATCCATCCATCCATCATCCATCCATCCATCATCCATCCATCCATCCATCCATCCATCCATCATCCATCCATCCATCATCCATCCATCCATCCATCCATCCATCATCATCCATCCATCATCCATCCATCCTCTAACCTCTTGACCCCTTGGCCCTACTGGGGTCATTAGGTGCTGGTTCCTCTCCGGCTGTGTTCCAGGTAAGAGGCGGGGTCACCTGGAAAGGTCACCAGTCTGTTGCAGAGCTCTGTAGTTCTGCTGTTTTTATTTTATTTATTGTTACTTATATTATTTTAACAATATATATTATTTTTTTTCATCAACTTATTTTATTGTTATTTTGTACAGCACTTTTAAACTTGTTTTAAACCTGTTCTTAAAGTGCTTGATAAATAAATTTGACATTGATATTAATTTTTATTTATATTAATTGGAGCCTATTGTTATAAGAAAACGTTTATTTTTAAAGACATCTATAAACCAACACCTGATCTTGAAAGTTTGAGCTTATTTAGAAACGTAAATGTTGATGTTTCTGTCAGCAGTTCAGATATTTACAATGTCTGATTTTTCTTCTCTCTGCAGTTTTGACCTCAGTGCTGAGCAGAGCAAAAATACAAGGTTGGTGAATTTATGTTTAAACCTTTAACATCTCACATCTGTTTTCATAAAAGAGAATGAACATTTGTTTTATGGTCAATTTGTTTCCTTGAAAATAAAAACTCAGCAGCAGTTTTTCCTTCCAGTTGCTCTGACTGTGAATCCCAGCAGATCCCAGTTCTTTGAAGAAGAATCAGTGACTCTGATCTGTGAGGATGAAAACAGATCAGCTGGATGGACAGTGAGGAGAAACACCAGCAGAGGAACCAGGAAGCCATGTGGAGATGGATGGGGGAAAGCTGATGGTTCTACTTGTAACATGACCTACCTCATCCCAGAGGACTCTGGTCTGTACTGGTGTGAGTCTGGATCCTCCAGCAGCAGCACCAGCAGCAGCAGCAGCAGCAGCAGCAGCTGCAGCATCCAGCTCTCTGTCTCTGGTAAGATCAGACTGTGGAGTTAGTGTTGCTGTGTGGAAATGGATGAAATGCTGTAGTTTGTCTCTGTGTTGAAAGGATCAGTGATCCTGCAGAGTCCTGTCCTCCCTGTGATGGAGGGAGATGACGTCACTCTGAGCTGCAGAGCAAGGAATCCAACCCACAACCTCCCAGCTGCTTTCTATAAAGATGGCTCCTTCATTGGTGATGGATCAGCAGGCAGCATGACCCTCCTCCATGTTTCCAGCTCTGATGAAGGCTCTATAAATGTAGCATCAGCGGTTCTGGAGAGTCTCCATCCAGCAGGGTCTCTGTCAAAGGTCAGAGGTCAACAGCTTCTCTGTATTTTTGGTTTTAACCAGTGAGCATCACCATGATAACAAACAGTAACTCTCCTTATTTCAGATAAACCCATCACCTCCTCTGCCTCCAGCAGTAAGTCTGTTACAGGTGAGCAGCTTTAGTATCTGATATGATTCTCCCTCCATGTTTCCAGCAGCTTCATCTATGATTCTGATCTCATCTCCAGCAGCTGCTGCCTCTCTAAACTCCAATCCTTCTCCTTTCACTGTGGGCCTTCCAGTTTTCATCCACCTGGTCGTGTTTTGTCCGTACTTCATCTCCACTCTGCTCCTGGTGTCTTTATATCGACACAAAGACAAAGGTAACACTTTGTATCAATTACTCAGTTCATTCTTTAACTAATCAATTACTTACTAAAGATGGTTTATGACATTTTAAAAGCTTATTATGTATCTAAATCTTTCCTTATTAAAGCTGCAGGAAACAATCTGCCCAACTTAGTGGTTATGATTTCCTCCACCCTGGATGAATAAAGATTGGATGATCTGAATCATCACTGTGTTCACCATGTATCAGTGTGACACATCCCTGAGGAACTCCTCGTGTTTCTGTTTGCTTGAACTGATTAAATATCCACTCTGAGTCTCGCTGGAGGGAGGAACAACCAGATCAACGAACATCTGAGGAAACATTTAGAAACAATGACTGTAATCAGTGTGTGACATCATAACCTTTTGTTCTTGTTTAACTGGTTTCTTCATTAAATGAGTGAAATCATTTATTGTGTTGATTTGTTTGTGTTGTTTCTCTAACTGTATATTGTTTTTCATGCTGCTTTGTGAGTCTGATGCTCAGTGTGAGCAGCTTGTGGTTATCCTGCCACAGGAAACTTGCCTGCATGTTTCCTGTTGCTGCTGCTGCTGCAACCTGGTGGTGAAAATAAGCGTTTAACTGTAAACATGACGGTTCAGAAAATCACATTAAAGGCTGAGATGTGTGCATTCTTTATGCATCTATGATAATAGATAATCTGCTGAGATCATCTGTTGTCAAAGTGATCTGGTCAGGATGAGGTTGAACAGCCGTCCTGTCTGCAGCCTGTTTCCTGTTAGCACATCCTGTTCATCTCGTCTGAACCACAGAAACCACTGCTGCTGGTTCCACTGACTTTAACTGAAACTGGTCTCAACCGGATTTCAGCACAAATAAACCAGTGTTGGTGAAAATGTGGCCTGTTTCCACCTGTCTGGTCTGTTAGTGGCCATGTTCACATGAACGTAGCGCGACGCTCTGCTCTGTCTTGGTTCCAGTGACGTCTCTCACAGAATGTCCCTTTAAATCCAATAGTTTACCATTAATGTCCCTTTGGAGAACTGACCTTGAAAATGTCATTGTTATCATGATTATTACACTCTGGGAGACGGACTCTGTCTATAATTTATATCTAAATTACATAAATATTATTATATAAATTATATTTATATTGTTTAACAAAAATATTGAATGACCCAGTTTTATCTCAAACTCAGTTATAAACAATTTCCAGTAGGATGTGTTATCCTGAGTAAACCCTCCTCTCTGTGGAACTAGTCTCACCAGCTGATCGTTCATTCTGGTTAATGTCTTACTGGCAGATTCCCAGTTGTTCCCACTTCTAGAAAACAGCCACACCATTATTTCCTCCTCCTGACATCCCAAACATCCCCCAGAGATCAGCAGCAGACCTCAGACTGATGCTGGCAGAGCTCCCAGTCTGAGCAGCTCCCAGTCTGACCAGCTCCCAGTCTGACCAGCTCCCAGTCTGACCAGCTCCCAGTCTGATCAGCTCCCAGTCTGAGCAGCTCCCAGTCTGAGCAGCTCCCAGTCTGAGCACTCCCAGTCTGACCAGCTCCCAGTCTGACCAGCTCCCAGTCTGACCAGCATCCTCCACTGGCTGGAGGAGAGAGTCTGCCTACCCGCCCATCATGAGTCGTCTTCATTAATTCTCTCATTATTGATCTCTGGTTCCTGGCTGACTGAACCATCTCCTCTTTGGGCCCGGTCCAGTTGTTGTCTGTCCACCAACATATTAAAAGTGCTTGGCTCCAGCTATCAGTACGCTGACCTACAGCCTGACCATATGTTAATGGGCAGGTGGAGGTGTGTCTCCATCTGCAGGTTGTGTTTTGACTTGGAGTCAGAGGTCAACGCTGTGCAGAGCGACCAGCTGCATAAACCTGTTGCTCACAAGATGTTCTATCATCATGTGAGATTTTTCTCAGGCTTTGAAAACTGCCTGACATCTTTAATGCTGGGAACAAAACCGTTGTTTAATATCACATAATGTCCAGAGCTAGTAAGAAATGCCAGATCAGTCGGGCCACCAGGAGGCGACTCGGTCAAAATGTGTCTGAATCCTTCCCACATCCTGGCTGGACTTTTCTTCATTGCTGTTCCTTTTCACATTTAGTCCTCTTGTTACAGCAAAAACAAAGTAAAAGAACCTTATTAAACAGAAACATTGAACTTGTAGTACCTGGTTCCAGTCAGCAGGTGGCAGCATGAATTCAGGCAGAAGAGAAACTCTGACAAAGAGCCAATGGGTGGATCTGTAACTGAAGGTCTTAAAACATGTGACCTTTGACCCCAGGTCAAGCAGCTGAGAGGACCAATATGGGTCAGAGTTCACACAGGTAGGAGCTCTCCCTGCCAGGCCTCCCAGTTAAACCTGGAGCTCAAAGTTTAACAACTTCCAGTTCTGACATTATTGTTTAAAATGGTTAAACCAGCAGAACCAACAACTAAAACATGGATGAACCGAAATAATAACCAAGGCTAATAGTGTCTTCAGGTCACAAGGTGACGACAGAGGTCATGTGGCTGGTCACCTAGGAAACAGTCTGGGGCCACCAACTGCGATCTGAGCTGTCGGACCTGCTGGAGGGAACCTGGAGAACCTGGAGAACCTGGAGAACCTGGAAAACCTAAAAAACCTGGAGAACCTGGAGAACCTGGAGAACCTGGAAACCTGGAGAACCTGGAAAACCTGGAGAACCTGGAGAACCTGGAAAACCTAAAAAACCTGGAGAACCTGGAGAACCTGGAAAACCTAAAAAACCTGGGGAACCTGGAGAACCTGGAGAACCTGGAGAACCTGGAGAACCTGGAAAACCTGAGAACCTGGAGAACCTGGAAAACCTAAAAAACCTGGAGAACCTGGAGAACCTGGAAAACCTAAAAAACCTGGGGAACCTGGAGAACCTGGAGAACCTGAAAAACCTGGAAAACCTAAAAAACCTGGAGAACCTGGAGAACCTGAAAAACATGGAGAACCTGGAGAACCTGGAAAACCTGGAAAACCTAAAAAACATGGAGAACCTGGAGAACCTGGAGAACCTGGAAAACCTGGAGAACCTAAAAAACCTGGAGAACCTGGAGAACCTGGAAAACCTGGAGACGTCTCTGCTGGTCCAGCTCAGCTCTGCTGCTCTGGACCCAACATCCCGTTCCGAAGGAAACGGCTTGCATGAGGTCAAAGGTCGTGTGTTGCAGTGGCAGCGTATCGTTCAATTATCCCTGATGTTTCACTAAATGATGTTTATCTTCTGATCTGCTGACTGAACTGCAGCTCATTTAGACTAAAATGGAAAATCAGGCAAAGGTTTTCCGGAAGCTGCTGCACCTGATCCAGGAGCTGCTGCAGCTGATCCAGGAGCTGCTGCACCTGATCCAGGAGCTGCTGCAGCTGATCCAGGAGCTGCTGCAGCTGATCCAGGAGCTGCTGCAGCTGATCCAGGAGCTGCTGCACCTGATCCAGGAGCTGCTGCAGCTGATCCAGGAGCTGCTGCAGCTGATCCAGGAGCTGCTGCATCTGATCCAAGAGCTGCTGCAGCTGATCCAGAAGCTGCTGATCCAGAAGCTGCTGCTCCTGTTCTCACTAGAACCAGGAAGTTAGAGACATAACAGCAGTTTTAAAGTCCCTCCACTGGCTCCCTGTAGCTCAAAGAATAGATTTTAAAATACTGTTGTTAGCTCCTCTTCCTCCTCCCCAGCAGGTTCAGCCTCACAGCCAATCAGCCGCCACGCTTGTCGGGTCTTTCTGCGGATCAAATCCACAGCTTGACTTCAGTCCAGTTATTGTCGAAAATGCCCACGATAAAACTCCAGAGCTCTGATGGGGAAATCTTTGAGGTGGACGTTGAGATCAAGACCATGCTAGAAAGATTTGGGAATGGATGATGAAGGAGACGATGATCCCGTCCCGCTTCCGAATGTGAATGCTGCCATCCTCAAGAAGGTGATTCGTGGTGCACCCATCACAAAGACGGCCCCCCTCCCCCTGAGGACAACGAGAACAAGGAGAAGAGGACGGACGACATTCCTGTTTGGGACCAGGAGTTCCTCAAGGTGGACCAAGGCACCTTGTTTGAACTCATCCTGGCCGCGAACTACCTGGACATCAAAGGCCTCTTAGATGTCACCTGCAAGACAGTGGCCAACACGATCAAAGGCAAAACCCCAGAAGAGATCAGGAAGACTTTCAACATCAAAAATGATTTCACAGAGGAGGAGGAGGCTTAGGTACGCAAAGAGAACCAGTGGTGTGAAGAAAAATAAAGCGGAGAATCCTGCCAACACTACCACACTGAAAGGATTGTCCCTGCTTACTGGTTGCACTGGCGTTGTTCATACTTGTTAATATTTGACTTTTAGGATATTGACAGCCACTTTGCTCTCTAGTTCCCTTCATTTCTGTATCCCAATAATAGCATGACCATTTAACTTGCCTGTGTGGTGTCATTAATTTAAAGATAAAATGCTTATTACTGTTTTCACACACTCATATTTGTGGATCTACATAAAATATAGTCCTGTTCTCATGGCTTTGTATCCTCGAAGAAGAAAAGAAACGATATCCCTCCTTCCAGATTATCCTGATTTTTAGTTGCTCTAGTTGTCTATTTTTTTTTTTACTGGAGATTATTCTTTTAGGTTCATTGACTTGAATAAAGTTACATTTTTTGACAATGGAAAAATGAGGGTGAATGTGATTTTGCTCCACATTGGCTTTGTTTGAACCTGGAAGGCGCCTCCTTAGTAGGAGAAATGAAGTTGGAAGCGGCTAAATGTTTTTGCGTTTTCACCTCCATCACAGCGTTGACTCGTCAATTGTGTATTAAATTGGACATTTTCACCTTAGTTGTGATGCTGGTTTTTTTAGCTGGATAAACGCACTGAAGGAGTTTAATAAAACCTTTCAAATGAAAAAATATATATATACTGTTGTTAGTTTATAAATCACTGAACGGTTTAGCACCACAATACATCAAAGATCTGCTGTTGTTGTATCAACCTTCCAGACTCTCAGGTTCTGGTTCTGGTTCTGATCTGCATCCAGAACCAGAACCAAGAGAGGAGAAGCAGCTTTCAGCATCTATGCACCAAACATCTGGAACAAACTTCTAGAAAACTGTAAAACCAGAAACCCTGACTTCCTTTAAAGTCGACATCCTGCCCTGCTGGATGTCGACGTTCCTCTGGATGAAGCTCTGAAGGAACCAGAATCAGCAGGATCTCCTCCTGCTGACGTCACTCAGTTAATAATAATCAGTTTAGATTCATTCTCACTAATTTCAGGCTGAGATGATCTACAATATAAACATGGAAATGAAACGTCATCACTTTGATTACAGTAGATTATATTAAAACCTCACAAAGTTGATCGGTATTTAAATTAAAGGTCAAAGACAGTAAACATGTTTGACCACTGGGGGAGCTGT